CACAGTTAATGTCAAATCCGACACCACCTGCAAAAGATGAGAGTTATCGTGTCAGTGGAATAAAAATGTCCATCACTTTAATGGAACTTTATCGCTATATCGCTACAATACTATACAGACAGTTTATGTGAAGCTTAAAACATCAGTAGATCAAATCAAGTTATTGGGCAATATAGAGTTTATAGACAACATGAAGTGATATAAATATAGGAAATGTCATGGTAAATAATGTTAACCAATATCTCTCCATGACAAAAAAAACAAAATACATTGCCCTCAATAAAGACAGCTGAACTGGCATACGATTTGCCATTCGTGAGATTAACAGTAAATGAGGCCACTATAAGCAAATGGCTTCACCCAATTCCTCACAATCTGCCCCCTCAGCAGCGATTCACAAATTAATTTCCCCATCTCTAATTTCCAAGCAAACATGGACATACCTGGGGAGACAACAGCGTCTGGGTTGCTCATATCAAAAGCAGCCATGTTTCCAATGGCGAACCCATAGCCGGAGTGGACATCGGGAAGACCAATGGACCTCTGAAGCAGAAGAAAACAAATATTTACAAGTAATGTATATAATGGGATCACGTTTGTAAAAACAGAAAACATTCTGCAAACTTAAAGCCCACCTACATCTATATAAAATCATTTTAAAAAATCAATTATCCAGCACTTGCAGAAAAAAAAAATGCAACAGCTTTCACTGCAATACTCACCTTCTCTCCGGCACTGTCCACCATGGACACTTCACTCATCCAGTAGATGCTGCTCCTCTTCTAGGTGGAAGTATGCCCAGCATCATTCAACCCTCTTCCTCTGAGCCCAGATGTCATGAACACACCCTTTTGGGGATGCATTTTCATGCAGCTTGGGTTCACTTCATTGCTGCAGCAGTGAGGACCCCCCACAGCCAAAGCCAGTCACCCTATTTAGACAAGTGGCAAGGTCCACTTATTTTAACTGGCCCACCTCACCCTTCCTAAAACACTGTATAAAAGAACTTTAATAATATACTTACTATCAATGGTGACATCATCCTCCTCCTTGCCAGATCTCAGAGAATGATGACTAGCCCAAATCTACTGCACCATGCTACATAGTTACATAGTTAGTCAGGTTGAAAAAGGCACGTGTCCATCGAGATATGCTGCATTGTCTTTTCATGTGATTTGGGATTCTCAGAGATCTTGTTGATGGCAGGATAATGTCAGCCCCTGCGCTACAGAAATCCGAAAAAGATAAGTATATTACCTAAGTATTTTTCTCCCCTACAGGCACTTTTATCCAGCATGTTAGGGAGGGGGTCACCTTGAATAAGCGGACCTTGTCAGTTAAAGTGGAAAGGTCCACTTTAACTGACTAAATAAGAGAAGGCCACTGTTAGAGTTCAACATACATACTGTATATTTAATATATGGGGTGGTGGAAGGGGAACATGGATTTGAGTTCTCTCCTGATAGCAGAAACTTTCACCAACCGTCCCCAAAACATTTCTAGGATGATCAGATGCTCCAGTTTCATATTTCTCTTGTAGCTCCGAGGTTAACTTAAATATTAAAAATATATTCAAGTACCTTAACTATTAACAAAAATGTATCTTATTTGTGTATCACTCGGCTGTAGATCCTCAAATCATCTCTGAATTGGCGCTGACACTGTCCTTCCTTCTGGAGGGTGGCTACTATTATTCCCCATGGTCCCTGTGTGTGTTGTAAAGTAGCCACCACTCTAAGCGCGCTCCCGTGATGGACTATTATGTCATGTTTAGGTTCCTAATTTGCTTTGAGATTGTAGTCCATCATAGGAGTGAGCTTGCAGCGGTGGCTACACACATAGGGACCATGTAGAACAAAAGTAGCCACACTCCAGAAGGAAGGACAGTGTCAGCACCAATTCAGAAATGATTTGAGGATCTATAGCCGAGTGATACACAAAAACAAAAGTTAAATTTTTGTTAATAGTTAGGGTACTTGAATGCATTATTAAGATTCTAACCCCCCAAGTTTGGTGTCAATTTAATCTCAGTAAGTAAAATATTTTACAGAACACAATACAAAATGCTTACATGGATAATTCCTGGCAAGGCTGCCACATTGCCAATCTGTTTCATAGCAGGGAGGAAACCTCCGGCTCCTGAAGAAGTAGACAAATAAATGTAAGTTGTTATTACATTCATGTAACAGAGAATGACATTTTTGATAAAGGAAAAGGCCACCCGCATGCACCATTCTGAGTTAGGTAGACACTAGAAAGTTAAATTGTAACTGCAAAAGCAATCCCGTCTGGGTGATCTATGTACATTGCAAGGGTGAGAACAAACTTTGTTGCAGATTCTACCCGTTTCTTTTCTGAATGAATACGTTTGTTTTACCATGTCCTTTCCAGACTGATTGCTGAATTGGATGGTCTGGTTCATTAAAACCACCTGGTACACTCTTAGTGTCCTTAAGTTGGCCATACACCTATAGATCACCTGCAGACTTTCAGTGGTCAAATGGAAAAAGTGCAACAGATTCCTCCATCTACGCTAAACTGTGTGGATGGAGGAACCTCCCCCTGTGACAAACTTCAGTATCTTGCTAGTCAGCCCCACTGGCTGTCAAAATACCTCAACAATCTGATTGGATGCATGCATTGTTACTAGCAAGATACTGAAGCTTGGCCCAGTTGGAGATTCCTCCAGCCTCGCGTAGATGGAGGGATCCGTTGTACTTTTTCCATCTGACCACAGAAAATCTGCACATAACCTATATGTGTATGGCCAGCTTAATAAGGAAAGCTGCTGTCTCTGCATCCCTTTAGAAGTAATTAACCCTTAGGGATTATTTTACCAAAAATGAAATTCCTATAGCAAGGGATGCCAAAAATTTTGTTCAGAGAAAATCTTTGACGCACTTAAAAGAGCAGGAAATTCCTGGAGGTACACCAACAGCCTATTGTTAGTAACAATTTTAGGAAATGCCAGCAGCTTGAGAGATTCAAATGGAGCGTTATGTTTTCATAACATTAAATTAAAGCTGGTGCAGCAATTTGATATACTACATTAGTTTAAAAGAGAACTATGGGGTAAGTGTTTTTCCCCATAGTTCTCTTAAGGGTCACGGGAGGACATATACTAGCGTCCTCCCGTGACCCAAAGCTCAGTATATAGCGTGATTTTCACTCACCTCATAGTTCTCCTTTAACGAAAGTGGAGTTTACCTTTAAACCACCTGGACCTTTACACTCTCCCTGTTGAATTTCATTCATCCAATTGTATGGAGGAAATAACACAGAAGAGATAAAATGTTCTCATTTAGGAGAAGGAATAAACTTCAACAGAGGCAAGAAGATCTCACTACTGACCGAGGTTTTACTGCACAGCACATTACTCCCGCTAGATGTGAAAGATCCCTTTTGTGTGGAATGATTGTGCCAGCACAGGATTTATATTTCCTACACCAAACATACCTCCACCTCGACAGGCATTTCTCAGCTCCTCAAACATCAACTTCTCCAGAGGATCGTTTACGTAGAATACTCCCTCCACCTGAATGCACCAAGAAAACATACTATATAAGGGCAGGTGAAAGTCAAACAAGAAAATCACTGCATGAGATGTATGTGCGATATGGCTCTGCACCTCCCTGGCAAAGTAATTCTCCTTAGCCGGCAGAAAGTTTTGACGCAGACCCAGCAGATGAACAGGTTGGTTGGGCAAGCATCAGAAAAGTGTATGGGGGCTAACAAGTGACACTGTCACTTTGCTCCAGCCTCTTACCATCTAGGTATGGTGGAGCACATGACCTCCTCCTCTTACATTGCAATGGCCAGTGCTGAGTGCTGTCGCATGGGGCGGAACTCCTTAGGCTGCAGTAATCTCTGACGCAGACACGGCAGATGAACAGGTTGGTCATGCAGGCATGTATCAGAAGAGGGTATGGGGGGCTAACAAGGGACACTGTCACTTTGCTCCAGCCCCTTACCATGCTTCTTAGCCATGCGTCTAGGTATTGTGGAGCACATGACCTCCACCTCTTACATTGCAATGTTGGCTGAGGGGCCAATGGCCAGGGCTGAGAGCCGTCACATGGGGGCGGAACTCCTTAGCCTGCAGTACTCTCTGACACAGACCTAGCAGGTGATCGGGGCAGTGGAGAAGGGAACTACCAGCAGAGGGAATGGGGGCTAACAAGAGAACCTGTCACTTTTGCTCCAATTCATACACCCCACTCCTCACACCCTTAAAAATACCTTGCATGCCCAGATATGGGGGGAACATGTGACCTCCTCCAATTTCTCCCACAATGCAATGCTTGGAGTCTGAGCAGCCAACGGCTGAGTACGGGGCAGGGAGCTAATAGGCCATGACACAGAATGACAAGGAGAGTCCAGAGGATTCTCGACTTAAGACTGGGGGGGGGGGGGGCATAAAAGGGTAGAAGGGGAACCCACAGACAGGAAGCACCAGTTGGCGGGGGTAGACTGTCTATCAAGAGAACCTGTCACTTCTCTTTGCAAGAGCACAGTGACAGGTCCACTTTAAATATGGCCATGCTAAGATATGTATCAACTATACATAACGCCCCCCCTCCTATAATTCCCCTCCTTCCAATCACTTCTTCCTCTGTCCAGCCGTGTAGTGCCTCAGCAGCTTGACAGGACATGCAGAGACCTGTAGTGCTTCGCTCTACTTATAAATAAGACATTTTTAGTGGACCTGCATGTTGGGGACGAATCCCTTGCGGATCCTCCAGCAGTTCTTGTGGATCTTGTCCAGAAACTGCAACTCGTCATTGTAGCTGCGGCTCATGGTGACTGCTTTCCTCAGCTAACACACACACACACTGCCAGCCGGCACCGGAACTAGTTCGTCACTTCCGCCTCCTGCCAAGCTTACTTCCGCCCCGCGTAGTATGGCAGAAGAGCTGCGTCACGCAGTGGGCTGTTTCTGCCCCACAGCAAGATGGCGGAGACTGTCAACAGGGGGCCGGTCACGTGACAGAGAGCAGAGCCGCTGCAGAAGGTCCTGTGTGAAGGTAAATTTGAAGGGTGGGATAGGGGGCTCTCTACTTCCCTCTGCTGGGGAACACTGGCATGCCGAAGATTTGAGGGAGATGGGGGTGTTGCCCATAGCAACCACTAACCATTTGTTGTTGGGTGGTATCTGCCACCTGTTTGGTTGGTGAGGTGGAAAGCCCTCTTTTCTCACTGGCTTTGCTTCCAGTTTGTGTTTATGGTGAGTGAACTGAGGCTGGACCGAAGAGCTTGCATTTTTCATGCCCTGCATCTAGGTACATTTAAAGCATGCAAACAGCCCCATGACTGTATCACTAAGGTATGTTTCCTGGTACCTATATGGCAGCATACCTATGATAGCGGGGCACCACCATAGGTATGCTGCCATGTACAGGTACCAGGGAAGGAAAATTATAGAAAGGTAAGTATTCAAGACAGTCACAGCTGCCAACTGTCTAAATACAATAGCCGACAGGTGGAGATTCCTCCATCCACTCTGTTTTACATGGATGGGAAAATCTATGCATGTATGGCTAGCTATAGTGATCACTTGGGTGGGGAGATCTATGCATTTATGGCTAGATATAGTGATCACTTGGGTGGGGAGATCTATGCATGTATGGCTAGCTATAGTGATCACTTGGGTGGGGCGATCTATGCATGTATGGCTAGCTATAGTGATCACATGGGTGGGGAGATCTATGCATGTATGGCTAGCTATAGTGATCACATGGGGGGGGGAGATCTATGTTTGTATGGCTAGATATAGGGATCAAATGGGGGGGGAAATCTATGCATTTATGGCTAGATATAGTGATCACTTGGGTGGGGCGATCTATGCATGTATGGCTAGCTATAGTGATCACTTGGGTGGGGCGATCTATGCATGTATGGCTAGCTATAGTGATCACTTGGGTGGGGCGATCTATGCATGTATGGCTAGCTATAGTGATCACTTGGGTGGGGCGATCTATGCATGTATGGCTAGCTATAGTGATCACTTGGGTGGGGCGATCTATGCATGTATGGCTAGCTATAGTGATCACTTGGGTGGGGCGATCTATGCATGTATGGCTAGCTATAGTGATCACTTGGGTGGGGCGATCTATGCATGTATGGCTAGCTATAGTGATCACTTGGGTGGGGCGATCTATGCATGTATGGCTAGCTATAGTGATCACTTGGGTGGGGCGATCTATGCATGTATGGCTAGCTATAGTGATCACTTGGGTGGGGCGATCTATGCATGTATGGCTAGCTATAGTGATCACTTGGGTGGGGCGATCTATGCATGTATGGCTAGCTATAGTGATCACTTGGGTGGGGCGATCTATGCATGTATGGCTAGCTATAGTGATCACTTGGGTGGGGCGATCTATGCATGTATGGCTAGCTATAGTGATCACTTGGGTGGGGCGATCTATGCATGTATGGCTAGCTATAGTGATCACTTGGGTGGGGCGATCTATGCATGTATGGCTAGCTATAGTGATCACTTGGGTGGGGCGATCTATGCATGTATGGCTAGCTATAGTGATCACTTGGGTGGGGCGATCTATGCATGTATGGCTAGCTATAGTGATCACTTGGGTGGGGCGATCTATGCATGTATGGCTAGCTATAGTGATCACTTGGGTGGGGCGATCTATGCATGTATGGCTAGCTATAGTGATCACTTGGGTGGGGCGATCTATGCATGTATGGCTAGCTATAGTGATCACTTGGGTGGGGCGATCTATGCATGTATGGCTAGCTATAGTGATCACTTGGGTGGGGCGATCTATGCATGTATGGCTAGCTATAGTGATCACATGGGTTTATTTACAAACCAAACCTGCCAGCTCAGCTGTCATTGTGCCTGATATGGAGCAAAGCAAATTGGGGCTGTTGAAAAACACCAAACTTAAAGAAGAACTGAAGGCCAGTGGCGTCACAAGG